CAATAAATAACAATACTGGGCTCTTTCGAGTCCGGTAATTGGAATGAGAACAGTCGTAAACTCCTTGAACGAGGATCCATTGGAGGGCAAGTCTGGTGCCAGCAGCCGCGGTAATTCCAGCTCCAATAGCGTATATTTAAGTTATTGCAGTTAAAAAGCTCGTGGTGGGTCATAACACTAACCCTTTTTATATGTTTACAGTAAGTGTCTTTAATTGTGGCCTCAGTTTGTCTACAGTCCGATGTATTTTGTTACAACTTCGGGAATATAACTTAATTGATATCGACTACTATCACTGATAAGATGTATACCCCGGTTTGTCGCAATGTAAAGGGTAACTCGTAGTACCTTTGCTCGAAAAAACGATGTATGATTCTCAATCCGTAGGATGCTTCATTTATCATTGGTTGTTTCCTTTGGCCACTCACGATATGAAGTTTAATACACGCCTCCCCAAGCCAAGGATACTGTACTGACTTTTACCGATACTCATGGCGATGTAACAATTAGTGAAGGTGAGTTGTCTCCATTAGCGCGCAAGGTAGGGAGTACCCGTAAACAGACCTGTCTCATGTTTGTTTGAGATCTTGTTTGAATACCACATGGAGTAATCTGAACATTACTTCAACAAGTAATAGGTAGACGAATGTTCCTAAGCCAAAAAACGTTTCCTGAATTTTTATTAAGATTTTACCCCGTGAGCTACAGAGAACTACATAGGCAAACCAACCCGCTCTTGTTAGACTAGTCCTGGTCCAGCATACACACAGGAACGTCAGCGGCTCCAACTAAATAAGCTCTAAATTTTACTACGCCACTGATCATTATCCAAGTAAACCCAAAGCTTAACATCAATGTACAGAAGGTTCACTTCTTCCTTTTTTTTTTATCGCCATCCAACAGGTATTTAGCCAACTGGTAGGCTATCTTTCACATCATAGACTGCCTTTTGCTCATCGACGGCAAACAACAGAAAGTAACCAGAGTTGAAGAAACACACTCAAACTTGGCTTGTTTTAAAAGCTAGCTAGCGCGCTCCCTGATCATCTGTTCCACTTATGCAATATCAATAACTCGTCTTTCCTGTGAGCTCAGGAAGGTTAGATCACAGGTCCACACGGTTGTACAAGCTCATGTGTGCCGCTCGTTCGAGCACTTGCAGACTAGTATATTCACATACGACTGCTTGCACATACAATCGCTATACCAACAGACCCATGTAGTTGTTCGTTCAATTTATTATACAAGTCCCTGTGGGTTCACACAACCACACGTTCATTCGATTGCACAAATGCTTGTGAGTCAGTATAGTTTTTTTTTCACACGGATCTTTGGAAACAGAAACCGACTTCACCAGTGGACTGACTAGACTTTATAAAAGC